GGTGGGATTTTGAGGTGATTTGAGGTGATTTTGGGGAATTTTGGGGTTCCTGGGGGGGATTTTGAGGTGATTTTGGGGCATTTGGGGTTCCGGGGTGGGATTTTGAGGTGATTTTGGGGCATTTGGGGTTCCTGGCTGCGGGGGTCCCAATTCTGGATTTTTTCCCCCCAAAAGTCAAGCAGGTGTTCAAGGACCTGGAGTTTTTGGGGTGGTACACGACGGGGGGGCCCCCCGAGCCCGCCGACATCCACGTGCACAAACAGGTCTGGGGATTTTGGGGAGAATTTCGGGGATTTTGGGAGAATCTGGGGGGTTTTGGATCACTTTGGAGGGGGTTTGAGGGGATTCTGGGGGGATTTGGGGGAATTTTGGGGGATTTTGGGAGAATTTTGGGGAGAAAATAAGGGATTCTGGGGGGTTTTAAAGAGGCCTGAGAGGGATTTTTGGGAGGATTTTGGGGGGTTTTGAGGGTGATTTTGGGAGGAATTGAGGGGATTTTGGGGGATTTGGGGAATTTTGGGAGAACTGAGGAGAATTGAGGGGATTTTGGGGAGATTTGGGAGGATTTGGGGAAATTTTGGGGGGATTTGAGAGGATTTTGGCAATTTGAGGGGTTTTTGGGGGATTTGAGGAAATTTGGGGAAATTTTGGGGGTTTAAGGAGATTTTGGGGCAAATTGAGGGGATTTAGGAGACTTTTGGGGCATTTTTGAGGATTTTGGGTTCCTGATCAGATTTTTGGGTGACCCCGATGGAATTTTGGGTTCCTTGCTGCACTTTTGGGACATTTTGGGCAATTTCAGTCCCTTGGGGTGAAATTTTCCCCAATTTTCCCCTTTTTTTCCCCGTTTCTGTTGGAATTTTGCTTTTTTTCTCAATTTTGGGGATCATTTCGAGGCTCCCCGCTGGAATTTGGGAACATTCTGGGATTTTTTTGGGGGAGTTTCACCCCAAAAATGTGAATTTCCCCCCCAGGTGTGTGAGATCATCGAGAGCCCCCTGTTCCTGAAGCTGAACCCCATGACCAAGCACACCGACGTGAGTTTGGGGCAAAACCCCCCGATTTTGGGACAAAACCCAAAATGAGGGAAAAAATCTCCATTTTTGGGGTTTCCTGAATTTCTGGGACCCCAAAATTGGGGCTGACCCCTCCCCCCCCCAGCTCCCCGTGAGCGTCTTCGAGTCCGTGATCGACATCATCAACGGCGAGGTCAGTTTGGGGCAAATTCGGGGGATTTTGGGGAAATTTCGGGGGGTTTGGGGAAAATTGGGGGATTTTCGGGGATTTTGGGGAAATTTGGGGAGAGTTTTAGAAAACTGGGGGGACTTCAGGGGGTTTTGGGGGATTTTGGGAGGATTTTGGGGAAATTCGGGGGGATTTGGGGAAATGTGTGGGAAATTTGATGAAATTTGGGGGGTTTTGGGGAAATTTCAGTTTTGGGTCCATTTTGGGCAAATTTTGGGGCCGTTTTGAGCCAATTTTGTGGCCTTTTGGGGCAAATCTTGGGGCAGATTTTGGACAATTTTGGTACAATTTTGGGGCCGTTGTTTTGGGACAATTTTGGGACCATTTTGGGATAATTTTGGGACAATTTGGGGGCCATTTTTGGCCAATCTTGGAACAATTCTGGGGCTAATTTTGGGACAAATTTGGGACAATTTGAGGCCGTTGTTTTTGGACAAATTTGGGACAATTTTGGGGCTGTTTTGGGCTGATTTTGGGGCAGTTTTGGGATAATTTTGGGACAATTTTGGGGCCGTTTTTGGCCAATCTTGGAGCAATTTTAGGACAAATTTGGGCCAATTTTTGGGATCGTTTTGGGCCATTTTGGGGCTGATTTGGGGCCGTTTTTGGGATCATTTTGGGGCCGTTTTGGGCCGTTTCTGGGATAATTTTGGGGCCATTTTGGGGCTGTTTTTGGGATCATTTTGGGGCCGTTTTGGGCTGATTTGGGGCCATTTTTAGGATAATTTTGGGGCCGTTTTTGGGATAATTTTGGGGCTGTTTTGGGCCGTTTTTGGAATAATTTTGGGGCCGTTTTTGGGATAATTTTGGGGCAGTTTTGGGCCATTTTTGGGATAATTTTGGGGCCGTTTGGGGCCGTTTTGGGATAATTTTGGGGCCATTTTGGGCCATTTTGGGGCTGTTTTTGGGCCATTTTTGGGATAATTTTGGGGCCGTTTTGGGCCGTTTTTGGGATAATTTTGGGGCCGTTTTGGGCCGTTTTTGGGATAATTTTGGGGCTGTTTTTGGGATAATTTTGGGGCTGTTTTTGGGATAGTTTGGGGCCGTTTTGGGATAATTTTGGGGCCGTTTTTGGGATAATTTTGGGCTGTTTTTGGGCCATTTTTGGGCCGTTTTGGGCGCCAAGGCCACCATGCTGTTTGCCGAGCTGCCCTACACGCTGGCCACCGAGGAGGCCGAGCGGATCGGCGTGGACCACGTGGCCAGGATGACGGCCACGGGCGGCGGGGAGAACAGCACAGGTGAGCCAAAAACCGGGGTTTCACCCCAAAAACACCGGGTGTCACCCAAAAATACCGGGTGTCACCACGGGCGGCGGGGAGAACAGCACAGGTGAGCCAAAAAACCGGGGTTTCACCCCAAAAATACCCGGTTGAACCC